TAGGTTTTACTAATAGTAAAGTAGTATAATCTATTGCGCCTATAGTTACAACCGACTTCAGCACCTGGATACTGTGCCCTTCTTTTTTATATATATAATATGCGATTTGTACTTGTATACTTTTACCACATAAATAAATTGCACGGGAGTTTCTGATTTTAACCAGAATTAAGGTCTTAAAGAGAGTATTTGCTTTGATTTTTGTTACAATTTTAAGAGATAAACTGAGTCGTTCAACCTATATAAACTTAGCCCACATAAACTTAGAATGAATTCCAATGTCAACACAAGTTTTTTTTTTGATATAGTGGGATTATGTTACCTACATCTGTAATTACAAAATCTTGACCCACAAAACGTGTGTTATATGCTTTGCTTAATAATATTTAGTTCCGAGAAAATTATATCATGTGAAGTAGGTTCCATTCAAAAGGAAGCAAGATGATGTTATAAGAATCATATAAAATTGTTGTCTAATAGGAATAGATTTATAATAAAGAAGTCAATCGAAGAAGAAATCGAAATCTCTAATGCAAACTCAAAGTAATTGTGGATCTGTTTACTTGCATCAACAATTACAGGATTAGTCTTTGCCAGCCTTTTGTGTTTATTGCATTTGACTCCCCATAGAATCACTGTTCAACCAGAATTTTAAACGGATTTTACATTTCTTAAAATCAAATTTCTTCTCAAAATTAACGCTAGAAACTACTGGAAATTTCGGAAATTCATGTAGCGTTAGAATTTCTGTATTGTCTTCTATCAACGTGTCCTTTGATATTCCCAGCATGTTTAGTTTCGTAACTGCATTCGGTTAGAATGCAGCGCATAAATGCAGTTGCATCAGGAATTTTAATGCACACATTTAGGTAATTAAATAGTTGCAAAGGCAAGAATAAATTGCTTTTGTGGTTGAGTTTCAAAGAATTCTCAGTGTACGAATTTGTAAACGAACTTCATGCATTCGGATTCGGAATCGCATTCGCATCTGCCTCTGCATTTGCATTTGCATTTGATATTGGATTGAAATTTTTATCCGACATCACTGAATTGAAATAAATTTATTTGAAAAACATTGCTTCTGTTGGTGCTTATACATTTGGTTTGTGGTTTTAATTTACTATTATTGCAAAAATTTTTGGTTTGAATTTGACTCAAAATAGCAAAAGTTACTTTTTGTTTGAGGACAAAGCAATAGAAGACGTGTACACGCCTACATGTACGACTCTGCACATACGTTCCGGAAACAATTCTCGAATTGCAGATTGCAAAATTGACAAATGGGATTGGAATATTCTTCATTAAAAAGGATTACTAAAAGTTTACTTTAGATATTTTCGATTGTTGGAATGATTCACTTTAAATACTTTCTAAATATTCTAACATTCCTATTTCGTAACGCCTTTTTATGTTAGTTCAATTAAATAAATTTTGCTCACAAAATTCCTTAAGCATATTTAATTGCTATCAGAAGAATATTTAATTAAACATTTTTAATTCTATTGATTTGCACGAAAATTGGGAATAATTAAAAATTTAAATATTATAACTTAATACCTATAAAAGTTTTTTTTGCAATTTTTATTTACACACATCCAGTAGAGTGGCAACCTTATTTAACACCTAAGACACCATAGGCTTCTATCGTTCCTCAAAGAAGTGTATACTAGTGCGACATGTAGAATATGTTCGTATTGGACGCCATTTGGTATTCTTCTAAAAGTTGTGTGTTTTGAGAATGATATTCCACTTTGTGGCTACTTAGTGATTTTGATGTCAGAAACAAGGAGCGTTTGGGTCAACCAAAAAAGTTTAAAGACGAAGAATTAAAAGCACTATTGATGAAACACTCAGCTCAAACAGAAAGAAAACTTGCAGAACAGTAAAATGTCACTGAAGCAACCATATAGAAATGTTTACATATCTTGAAAATGTTTTAAACGGAAGAAAAGTGGATACCACATAATTCGACTGAAGCCTAAATTGAAAATCATTTAATGGTTTACAATTCTTTGCTTACAAGAAACCGAAAATGGCATTTCTTTCATTAAATTGTAATTAACAAAGAAAAATAGATTTACTACGAAAACTGTTTAAGTATGAACATATATCTTATCTTAGAGTAACTCAGAGGTTCAGTCAAGCATATCGTAAACTTTCTTATGCTATTTATTTAGAGTCATACACCGCAATAGATATTTTATAATCTCATTATAATTAGTATTGATTTAGGCACATATGTCGCAATACCTTTTTAATTATCTAATTGTAATTAGCTTATATTTAGGCGCAATATAATAACACAATAAAATACACAGAAATACACTTAATGAAGCAGTATTTCTTAACATCTACTCGACGTATATAAAACTATTTTATACAATAACCCAAACACACAAAAAAATTAAGGGATTATTCATAGGAATCGTCCATATCACCAGGAAAATAAAACATTAAAGCACGAAAGATTATTGAATTACATTTGATGAGATCAGAAAGAAGTGGTGTACTATGAGCCTCTTAAATCAAACAAAACTTTTACTCCTAACATTATCAGCAATAATTCATAGATTTGAACCATCCATTGATCAAAGATCGTTTAATTCCAGTAAATGATTTGGAATTGGATTTGGATTTGATCAAGCAATGCTCGACCACATGTCTTAAGACAAATAAAAAACATAAATGGGAAATGGTAACGCATGTCTCCTATTCAACAGATTGTGCTCTATCAAATTACTACTTGATTCTCCGATCCATGAAAAGAACTATAAAAAACCACCAATTCAGAATTTACAAAAAAATCCAAAAATGACTTGAAAATGGATCAAATCAAACGACCCAAAATTTTTTTTTGGCTATGGGATCCATAAGTTGCCAGAAAAATGGTAAAATGGAAAATATTTTTGATTAAAATATAATTCACCAATTCTGGTGATTGTTTTTTTTAAAACGCCAAGTTATACACCAAATAAAATCACAACGGTGTTTAGAAGTTCACAGATTGATGAAGTTTTATATGACTTTTAAAAATTTTAGAGCACAATGTATACAATTAACAACTCGGTAAAAAATAAGCTCATTTTATTATAAAATACATTGATTAGATTTAAAACGTGAGACTGAAGCAGAAAATAAACACCAATTTTTCTTTGTATTATAATACATTATGTATAAAAAGTAACCGGAATATAGTTTGAAAACCCGCGTCAAATATACCGCTAATATGCCTAATTTTTTTGTTGTTAAAGACTAAATTAGTTGCGCTTTAAAAAATCTTCTGACTTGTACTATTCTATGGAAGACAATACATTGAATTATTCGTTCCAAAGTGAAAATAGTGGAAAATATAAGAGCCAATTCTATTTTGGATTTTGACGCTATGGTAAGGGAAATCTTACATCTGCTCATAGAAACATTGAACAATTACATTGCATTTCATTGTGTGTGAAGTATTTGATGTTCGGATTGATCTTGCGTTGTTTGTATTTTTTTTTTTGCTTTTATGCTTTGGGTGTATTTCGCTACAGCTTATCACTTTACCTGCATTCCGTCAATTAGGTTTTCTACGTTCGCTGCATATACGTAGAAAGTTCGTAGCAGTATCATGCGAGATTGAGCGGGATCTCTCAATGAGTATGTTTACAGCAGCTATTTACTCTATAACACTCTATTTTGTAGAATTTTTTTTTGGTAAGATTTTAAGGTATTCATTTAATCTTCGAAGCACCATATTGAAGAATACTAAACTATTTGCTTCTCGAATTTATAAAACCATGTTCCTTTGATAAATATGATGAGTTTTACAATGGTGTCTAAAGTAATTTTAAGAAACATAACTTAGCAATTATGATTAGTTTCACGACAGCAATCTATTTCTAATGCTCTTTGAACATATTAAAGATTACAGATTAAAATAAATATGTTTTATAAGCGATACTAAGTTAACTCATGGCTTCAAGAACGCAGTAGTCCATATTAACGTTTGATTTACAAATGAAGTGATATAGGTTCTCACACTCTTCATTTTAAAGTAATTAATTAAATCTAGCTTTGATTGAGCAAAGTGCCTTTGAAATCCATTGATGATGAAGAAATCAAGACCGAACTAAAAACCATTTTATATTATAGATAAGTACATTATCTCTATATCTTTACTTGCGCTATATCTCATATTGACTAAATTATCGTTGTCATGTCCATAGATGCATCGCTCCTCGCATTTATCGAGGTCAGAGTAAATAAAATTTTTTTGATATAAACAATACTTGGTATATTATTTTTTGTTAATTTTTTAATTGGATCTTTAATTTATTTTAATTATCATTAAAATATTCTTTATCATTATTAAAATATCATTAAAATTAACAGACAATTTAATTATCAGAACAAATTATTTTGAAAAATAAAAAGCATTATGAATTTATTTGTTTTATAAACGTTATAATGGTGTCCATAAAGATTTTCTCGTGAACTAAGAGATAAAAGATGCAATGATTAATTGATGAACTGATGAGTTGCACCGGTTAACCAGTCTATTCCTGAAACCTATAAAAGCACTGGCTGGATTAATTACAAAAACAATTATGCTGGCATATTAGAAGTTGAATACAAATAAACATGACATCCTCAGGGACCTCAAGATTGATCCCATCAAAAAATACGTAAAGGATAGAGCCCTGAAATTATTTGCGAAATCTGACAGACTTACTAACACCGCGTTATCAAATCTCAGAATGGTTACAGGCTCCTCGGGGATCTGAGGTCAATTATTGCCTAGTCTAATAAAGTGATAAACAATAATCCAGTCAAGGCCCAAAGAGGGGTTTTAAAGAAACTTCGCAGTTAATAGAGAGTAAAAGTGCTCAGGTGCACTGACTCAACTCAACTAGCCTCAGCATATATGAGTTCACTTGAATATTTATAGTTCACATTTTCGTAAAGAAAAGTATGCACAGAACTATATATTTGACATTAACTTCTAAATATTGAACAAAATTTTCGGAAATGCATATTCATGCAATCAAAATTTGTGGGTAATTGCTCAAAACATTAGTCGCCATGGAAAAATGTGTGAAAATATCCATGAAGGACTTCATTCAATTTGCAAAAAACACTGAAAGCCTCAACCAATTGTTTCCAAATAATGTGAAACATCGCCAGCTCGCACACCTTTGGCTACTGAAATTATGCAATTATAGCTGCAAGAATATTGAAGACCATCGCGTTCGCAATAGATACATGCGAAATCTACTAGCTTGCATAAGCAAACGAACACTGTTCGGTTGTTTTCTGATTAGACCTCCATTAGGAAAATTGCGACCCACTAATTTTTATATTAATCATTACGTAGATGAAGAATCAGATGAGAGGATAGAGGTTTCACAAGGAGAGACAATTGCAGACATCAACGAACTCCTGGAGCAGAAGAAAAATCTATTAATAGAATGCTGTTGTATGTCATGCTCAAATCAACCAAAAAAATACAATTCACCTTCCATAAACAAATCAGGTATTCCACGCATTATTAACTTAAAAAACAAAAATACAGGAGCAAGCAAAGCTGCAAGAAACCTGTGTCCGATGTGGAAAGTGAATGTGAAGAACTTGCTTGGTGAGATCGCAGCAGAATTGAAAGGAGAGATTAAAGAAGAAAACAAAGCCCACCTTGAAAGACAATTAGAGCGTTACAGAAATTTTATCAAGAATTATACTGATATGAATGCCCTACTCAATGAACAAAGCATTTCTTCTCAGCGCTCATTTCTGCTAGTTCACTTTCAGAAGGATCTAATAAGATTGTTACGTTGCGAAGACTAAACACACCAGTGACATTTTTTTATAATGGAAAATTTTACTATCGTATGTAAAAGAGCTCACATCGCACGACTTATTCTAAGAAACCATTTATGAGATGCGAAAGTTTGAGAAGAATTGGAGAATTGCGTTTGAGTAAGATTGAGAAAGTTTTATATGGAATTATTAGATTTAAGTAATAGAGGGCCATACCATCTTAATATTTAAAAAATCATTATTTTTGTTGCTCTTTGTGTTTACAATGTTTTTAAATACATGAAGTTTCTCATTGAAAAAAAAATTTTGTGGTATTTATGGTATCTTTTCGATCAATATATTCGTTTCCCAAATCAATACATTATATTCATATATTTCCTACAACTGATATGAAATGAAAAACCTTCATTCAGTTCCTTTATTAGGATACTATGTAATTGTAATTATGCTATAATATTATAATGGGTTATCTGTTAGATTGTTCGGTAAGTAATTTCGTTTTTTCCCGATAGAGATTGTAATTGTATTTACTTTTTTGCCAGCAAAGGCCAAAAATTTGATGAGCGTGGAATTATGCTACTATCAGTAAGATGGCAAAAGGTGTTGGACCACAACTTCTAATATATAATTGAATAAAGTATTTATGTATGATACGAAAACTATCTTTCATTTCCATAAAAAAAAACGAAACTACTTTCCGAACAACCTAATATTTCCTGATCTTGATCGCCATTATTTAATAAGAATCGATGAACAACCACTGAACTATGAACCAGTGAAATTCTCGCAATGAGTTTTTTCCGGTGAAAGAGCTCAATATTCGCTGAAAAAGGTTGAATAAAAGAAACTTAAAATCGACAAATTACTGAGGAAAGATCATCGCAAAAAGTCATTGCAAATGTGGCATTTGGTGTGAATGTATGGAAAGGATCCTACTTTTTAAAAATAATTAGGGTATGACAGCGATATGAATACCAATTTCTATTGATATGGATACGAATGTATGAATGTGGAAGCTGTGTAGTTACAACATAACAGTTTCACAATTCACACAATACGTGCCATTTTGATTTTGTTGTGCAAGATATTTTCCTGAATAATCTCACTTTTTTATTATGCGATTTAGCTATCAAAAGTATACAGTTCATCACCTTTAGATTTTTTATAAGGTTATGCCTTCATACATACTCTATTTAATTATTGATGCTTCAAGAACGAGCATCCATTAAAGTATGACCATCTAATATCCATTATCCGTTAATTTTATTAAAAGTATTCATAGAATTCATAGATTTAATTTTATTATTAAAGTATTCATAGAATTAAATGGAATACACAATTCGAGATTCTGCTAATTTATATCAATTCAGACCATTTTGAAGTGATCAATGAGGGCCAAAAATTGATGCTCAAAAATTGTCAATTGATAATTGTCTCCAAATGCTGATTTAGATCAATCCAAACCCTTTATAAGCTTGTTTTATGCCTGCGAAAAACTAAATCTCATTTGGTACAAAAAAAAACTAAATTTCTCAGAAAAATAGCGTTACGTTAAAATCTGTCTAACAATACTTTACAACTACCTGCTTAGGATGCAATACATAATAACTAAAGATAAGACGAAAAAAATCAAACAAATACCCTGCAAAAGCTGAGCCGAGACCATAAGACTTGCATCAAATTTTTTTAAAACTTCAAGTCAGGGTAGCATATGTTCTTTGATTATCGTGGTATGGTTCACTCAAATTTCTTCTGCCGAAACAAAACGTTTATATGAAACGCTATTTGACTATTATTCTTCATTTATGTAAACCCTTCCGCAAAAATATGGCAGATTCATATGCAAACAATTCTTGATTTTTAGCTACCGGAATTTATCGATTTTTGAAAACCATTTCGTTAAAAATTCATCTCATATTGTTTATAATCTATAGTGATCTCAAAGCAGTCTTTAGGTATTCCTTTAGCTTAAGAATCCGCTTCGAATAGATCGCTTCAACATGACTGAAAAGACTAAATCGCTACTACTAGTAGACTAAATCGTCCACTGATTTGAGAAGGGATTTGTACTGATCGCGTAAATATGTGATTAAATAGAAGAAGAAGAATAAATGAGGAAATTTTCACTTTATTTTGTGACCATGGTACTCGAGATGAAATGCATGTACAGTAAAAACATTAACATGGAGTGTGGATAGCTGTTTTAGCAGTTTAGTCCTTATGTCAAGCTTCAACCAAATTCTATTGTTTATAATTGTCGAAAATAAATTCAAAATTATTAAAGTTTTTACTACTCTTCATTATTCAGATACACCTATATCAACTCAATCTCTTGCACATACGGAATAAAACAATTTTAACAGCAGATAAAGAATTGGTAATGAAAACAATTAATAGTTCTTAATTGGAGAGGAGTATGATATACCAATCATGGAATACCTATCAGAAACAATATCATCTAAAAAAATGTTTAAGTTGGTATGAAAAAATCTTTTATATGTAACACTCTTGCAGAACTACTATTTACATCACTGAATGTAGTCAAAAAAGGTTTTAAACTCAGAGACATTTAATGAAAGAATATTATTGATGAAAGGTTATTGAAATACGTAAGACGAGTCCTGTGAAAATCTATAATTTATTTAATTGAAAATTATTTAATTGAAAAATACGCACATATTTCCTCAAAGATGAGATTAGTTAGAAGTTTCTCCTTGATCTTAGCCTTAGACTAAACGCAGGTTTGCTACATATTGCCATGGCAAAGAGATTTTAGTACGAGGGAAATGCAGTGCTGCGTCATGTAATTTAAAGCAAACTGCAAATATTTTTTCACTTCATTTAAATAAAATAATACTTATCTCTTATCAACTAGAATAATAGGTGAATTCTAAATATTATAAGAAAATTGTATCTTTTAACAAGAAAATATTACTTGAACTCAAATGCAGTCAGTTTCATTGTACAAATAACTGTATTAATCCGATTTAAGCAGGTTATCCCAAGAAAAAAATTATTTGAAAAAGCTTTTAACTCAAGCATACGGAAATGTATAAGCAAAATATTGAAATAGTCATTACAATCTTAAGAAGAAGCATTACAACAAAGTCTTCTCCGATATTTGATGCATCTGCTAAGTGGTCATTTCAAAATATGTTTACTCAAAATATATCCGTACCAATTATGGTACGTTGCCATCGATACAGGCATTGCATGTGCGGAGCATAAGAACATATGACATCAGAACTCACATATTACACACCATCGTCCCATCGTCCCAACGACTCGATGCTTCTTTCTTATGCTCCTTGGCAAGTAAGTAGATAAGTACCTTTACTGCATACTTATTACAAACTTTGTTTTATTTTAATTGCTCTGCTTGAAACTGTAAGCTTATTACTCTCCTGAAGAAATGGTACAGAAACTGCATGACAGAAAATTATTTTATCGCAAAGTAGAAATGGCAAATTTAGTGGAAAATTATTTCCAGAAATTTTTGTTGGTGTAGTTACTTGTATCTGGTATCTGGTATCTGGGCGGAAGCTGTTGTTTAACTTTACTGAATGTCAACAATTTTATTCTTCATGTCCGTTGCAAGGCACAACATCAAGAAATTTTTTTCTTATTTGTGACATGTTGTTGATATCTAAGAACTCTTAAACTAATTTAAAGAAGAATGAAATTAATAAATAAATAAGATTCAACGTTTCAGAAATCTGAAAAAGAAGAAAAACTTACGGAAATTGAAAAATAAATTTTCTATTTTAATATTCTCATATTCTATGCGAAAAATAAAAACGGGAAAAAATACTCCGACAGCTGGTCTTTCAAGGCAAAACAACGTTATCGGAATATGTACAATAAATCTATTGTTACAGAATTCGCTTTTATATATCCTTAAAAGGAATTTTATCGATGCATTTTTTTAAACGCTACTACCATGATGTGATTGCTCTAAGTTTCTTACTCGAAGTAATTGCAATCCTATCAGTCAACTCATAGATAATTGAAACCTTGATTTTAATAACATTTGATTTAATTGTATTTATTTTCTCTAATGATCATTAAACTTTAATTGTTTTAAGTTAAAAATACTAGTTAATTATTCGTGATATTGAGATAGTTTCTGACGATATAATGCAAATAGTAGATACAATGATGTTTAACATTACACCAAAAATTATTTCTACTTTAATAGTTTAAATATCCGGCAACTACATATATTACAGAGTTAGTTGATTGAATTGTTACCTTTTCTCTCAACCGACCATATCTTTTTTGTGTGAAATTATTGTGGAAATAATCAAAATGTTTCTATCCATTCACTCTAGATCGATGTGGCCACCTTTTGCCTTGACTATGATCTTCAAACGGTTTAAAAATGAGTTGCATGCTTCTCAAATGTAATCTTCCGGTTTTTTGGTCCATTTGGCTATTCTTGAACAATGACTTTCTTGAGCATCTCAATACCGGCATATTTTTTAGTCCTCACCTCACCTCTCCGAAATGGTTCAGATGAAATAGTCCTTCGAATTTGCAACTGGCGAATTCGAAAGACATTCTGTGGACAAAATAAATTATGGATCATGATTTTTTAACCATTCTGCGTTCATACCTGAGACCAGTGCCGAGTCTTGTTGAAACGTCTATGGTTTTAAAGCAACTTCCAAAACATTTTCGTGACAATAATATGTATTGACTTTGACACTAGACTCGATGAAAACGATTGGAGAGCGTCCGTGGGCAGTCATAGCTGCCTATACGATTATTTGAGATGGAAAAGGAAAATTACTTCGGGTGACTATTCATAGTCTCAAATAGAAGTGAACGGTAATATGTTCATTCATTATAAACTCCTGTCATTGTTGTGAATTTCACGTAGTTATCAAAACTAGTTTGACAAATATACCTATGTGTAGTTGGCAATCGTCTAATTCTGTAAATATGTCTATATACGCGGGGTGACCAGATATTGAAATGAGCTTTTAATTTTAAAAAAATTTTTTCGTGCTACCTCCTCCTCCTACTTCACTTTTTATGCGCTAGTTCCACTCTAACTTAGACAGTTTAAGAAACTATCAACATTAAGAAATGTTAAAACTCTATTTAAAGTAATATTATGTATATCATTATACCCTGCCCGTAACTGTGTAGGTTTTTGCGCCCACCAAAATGAAGAGACGCTTTCACAAATAAATTTCCGAAAAGAAATGAACCATTTTTCGGTAGTTGTTAACGATGGAAACCTAAAATACACATTTTTATGCATAAAAATACACATAATGAATTTTTTAGAATGGGAATTAAAAAGATTTGGCATATATATTAAATAAGGATCAGAAACATCTGACTCTGACTCTAAGAGTGAAGTCTAAAATTATAAAAATTAATTCATTTTTTGTCAAATGACTGAAATGTATTATCCCTTTAAGATTTTGCCAGTCTTTCTTTTAGTAGTAAAAAGAAAGACTGGCAATTAATTAATTTTTTATTATATTATATATATTTAAATAATGTCCATTAACTTTATATAACATGAACATATTTTACTTCATTTGTAATTATAAAAAAATTTTCTTTTTCCAGGTAAGCAATGGCATATAATCGCTAAACTAAATTAGTAAGTAACTATTTTAAGTTAAATTTTTTTGAATTATTGAGCTGATCATATTTAAATATAAATAATAAATATATACCTTTTTTATATTAAAAATAATCATTTTCTCATGTTTTAACGTGAATAAAACATATAATTACAAACAAAAATAAATTTGTTATTCAAAATTCGCGAATAATATTTTTTAGTAACTTACTCAAGCAAAGAACCAGATCAGTACATAAACTGATAAAAACTATTATACAGAGTTATCTATTTTATGAATCGGAACAGGCTTTCATCCATACAATTTTAAGATCGTATGAAATAAAACCTTATTCAAACTTCCTTGGCTAAGCTTTTATACTTATTTAGTTGGTTCAATTTTGTTTGAATGGTGGAATCATATCTTTTAGGATAATTCGTATATTGACCATTAAGGTTTTTTTGCGAGTCCTTCCGATCTGCGTATTACGAACACTATTCTGTGGTATCTCAACAAGCCTTTATTTGAGATCAAGTGAGCTTTGGGGTACCAGAACGTTACTTCAACCTTCCCTAACTTAATCTAACCAGGACGAAGAACTGTATAACTTTTAATAATAATTGGATTATAAATTTAACCAACTGTTCGTTATTTGTTCTATACATTAATTATTGATTCAGTTAATAAAATAAATTTTTATAAATTTCGCCTCACATGCTTTGGATTCATTATAAGACACTTAATTTATTAAATTAAATTTAATTTAATAATAATTGGAATTTGTTGTTGATTAATTTACATAAATATGAATTTAATTTCAAATGTGAAAACGACTTATATTCTTATTATTATAATTTTTATATTATTATGGTTATTATATTGTTACAGTAACTATATTATTATATTATTGTATTATTATTATTATTATAATTATTATTATTATTATAATTATTATATTATTATGATTATTATATTGTTATAGTTATTATATTATTATAATTATTATATTATTATTATTATTATTATAATTATTATATTATTACAATTAAAATTTTTATATAATTATTATTATACTGTGTACAAGAAGAATGATTTCTTAACTGAATAGCTGCCATTGTAGTAATAACATTAATCCATAGTCTGGTTCTTATAGTTCAATGCTTCCTTTCGCCAATACTTGATATTCATATGTAAGATATAACTTTTAATTTCTATCACTGTCATTCATTATTGGATTTAAATGCAATAGTGCTCTTCACATATTTTGAGATAAATTTGTACTCATATATATGGTGTACTACTATTTGACATATCACACATATATAGCCGAATTTATTTACGCCCAGCATTACTTTTCATCCCATCGGTGACTTGAGTCAAAGACATTTTTTAAAAGTATTTTTTGAATTCAGTACACAAACCCAGAACAAATTAAGGAAAAATGAGTCAACTCTGTATGTAATTCTTGATAACACCTCTGGCATTTGTGAAATTTGTTAGCAGAGCCAAACAGAATTTTATTTTTGTCACCGAATTTAAATCTCTTCTGTGATATTCAAACCACAATAAACGATTTGACTGAAGAGATGTCTGCTTGAAACACAGTCTTATCGTCACTATTGCCGCTGCATGTGGGTGTCCATGCACTTACATAATTCATCTATACAACACATACTTTTGGCACAAGCATATGCGCCATAAGGTATGCAATAAAAATATACAAAATCACAAAACATACGAAACAGTCAAAACACTGAGGCAAAGGCAAGCACTCATCAAAAAGGCTTTAAAAGTAAAAGCAATTGAGTTGTTTGAAAAAGGAAAAATAAAGAAAAAATAAAGAAAAATAGCTGAAAAGCGAAAAAGAGGAAAGAAAGATAGAAATGAAATAACGGAGAAACCTTAATGAAAGTTACCCACACACAACCAAAGGCTATGAACAATATTCGTTCTCATTTTCATTTTTATTTTTATTCTTTTCATTCCTGCTTTATATCCTTAAATATTGCATATCATTGCAAGCGTTTTTGTCAGTCGCCTCTGAAGAGTTTGTCTGATTGTCTCTGTGCAACATTGCGCCCTGCATCCTGCAGATATTATGAGTCTGTCCACTCGAAGTTACTAAGAAGTGTCTAGTACGACATGTGTACTTCGAGTGGATTTCAAACAAATATCGCACCTACTTAAATGTTTCAAGAACTAAGCAAACATGCAGGATGCCACAAAATTGCATGACAAAATTCGCATTCACGTTTCGCATGCACTGTAAAACGTTGGGGATGAAATTTTAATATATAGTCAAGGTAAGCACAGCTCATAGCATGGAGTGTTTATTAGATTTTGTTGATTTTATTTAAGCAATTTATTTTATTTTTATCAAAATCACATTTTTTCCTTACTTCATTACACATGAGTGACATATAAAGGGTGATGACGGAAGTATCTACAGATTTAAAACTTTCAGTCAATCAATTAACAATATCATGTGATGAATGGATATGCTAGAAGTGCTATAACAACGTTACAAGGAGGAGTAGGAGCAGTTCTAGTCGTCAACTCTAAAGACACCCACGTAAAGATGGACACACAGCAAACTATAAAGAACTCAACACATAACTGATAAGCCAGGTCTCAAAAACGATATACATTCAAACGAAAGTGCGTCAATAAAGATTATATTCAAGGATTTTTTAAGTTATTCCTACTAGAAAGAGAGAATCACTTATAAACAGCAGTTTTGAAACACCGGATACCATTTGAAATGGGAACAGGGAACTTCCAGAAACGTATAAAGCGGAAATGTAAATGAGTTCCTGACTAATGATTTAATAACGCTCAATAGGTGTCATTGAAACTCTCCAATATTTCTGCTTTCCAATAGAGCCGAAAAATAAGATAATAAGAAATGGAGAGTAGTGTGAATTTCAGTAGTACAAATAAAAAACACAGTTGTTTCCAACCCGAAGAATAGATGAAGTCCTGAACCAATTAAGAAATAGTTTTCAGCACATTTCTTCAAAATTAAAATTATCTTATCAAGGCACCCATAAATTCGTAATCATGTTTCTGTAGTTTTTACCATTGATGATAACAAATATATTAACTGACTTGTTTATATCTAATGCAGTCGGTTTACAGTATTTCAACAACTGAAAGTGATTGATCCAAGATACAAAAACATGGTATTTAAGTACGGATACGATTTTGTTTTAAAGTAATCGAGATCTACCTTAAATATCTCAAGAACAAATCTATTGAAATAGGAGTGATATAATTTTCAATCATTTTCAATTTTCAATTAAAAATACATCTAAGGAACGTTTAAGCATCAGTTAACTGTCAGTATAACTGGATGTACACTTCAAAATGTCGAATCGAAAAGAGCATGTTATAAGCATGTTAGCTTATAATCAGAAAGTAATAGAGCAACGATTGAGTTTTGTTCGATCCCACTGTCTATTACAATTTCTTTGCTGACAAACCACTTTCAAATGGGCGGGCGATTCGGTTAGTAAAGGATACTTTCCACGACTGTTTTTATTAGAATGGATTAGAAGAAAGGGAGGGAGAAGAAGAAAATCTGACTCATATAGACTACATGTAAGACCTTTCTTTCTCAAGTATTTGTCCGATATAATCAATACAGCTGTTGATGTCATTGCCTAATATAAGACAAGGATTCTTAGCGAACCGAGTTCCTTGCTAGACTGCCATTGGTACTCGTATCTACTGAAATCAACTCCATATAAACGCATATTGAACAATTAATATCGAATCTTGTCCAATCATAATCGCCCACTTATCTATTGTACTTCACAACAATTTGCAATTTCTGAAATTTTCCTACTATGAAAATAATTGAACAATTTTTATTTTTATTTTCCAATAATATTTTTAATTAACCTTTAGGGTTAAATCTTTGAACATAATGTTTCTTTTGATATTTTCATGCGTCAATCTACAATTTCTCATTTAAACATCCTATGGCCGCCTGCTTGTAGTTAACACTTTTTTGCTTCTATTTCTGCAAGGATACCCGGAATGCTTTTCAATGCAATTTATTGAATCATGTTGAAAATGGAGGGAATTTTTTCAGCATATCAGTTGCTAATTCCTCATTTTTTTGCACATTTTTCAATTTAATTTTTTATTCCCCTAGATTGGTAAGTAAATTGAAAAAGTTGTTCATCACTATTTTAATGCTACTTAAGCTGTCATCTAATATTTCTGACAGAGACATAAACGGCTTTGCCTACGCGCCTTCACAACGTCTGTAGCAGTGCACCACAGCGGCACTGGAAGATCAAAGCAGCAAGGCGGTGTCAGTAAAAGGTGAGGGACGCACTTGTGTTGCCTTTATTAAATCTGCATCGCAGAGCATAGAGCTGTCAACTTTTAGTGCATTTGTATTATCTTTCATATTCCTTAACACATTTTTTTTCTCTTCTACTGTGCCGTACTTTAATTTATGTGTCAAAAATCTACTTCAATAAAAAGCTGTATGTCGCAGGGTCTATTGCAAACAATGGGTATCTTCTATTTAAATTCGTTTTATTTTGTGAAATATTTTTGCTTACACTTGTCTTGGTAAATAATTCTCGTCCTGTTTTTACACAGTTTTGCATCACAGAATAATTCCAATAAATATGAAAGGTCAATTTTCAAAAAATTTAATTTTTTATATGCTATATCTTATTTATCACTCGTGACATTGATATATATTAAAACTAATGCTATTCGTACTTGAACTAATCAAATTATTACTTAATAGATTTGCTACAAACAGTTCGAAAAGTTTGAATAACCATTCTAATACTCATATTCGTATTCGAATAATTCGAACTATTCAAACTGTTCCATGCAAAACCATTAGCAAATTATTCGAATAATCATTCTAATACTCATATTCGTATTCGAATAATTCGAACTATTCAAACTGTTCCATGCAAAACCATTAGCAAATTATTCGAATAATCATTCTAATACTCATATTCGTATTCGAATAATTCGAACTATTCAAACTGTTCCATGCAAAACCATTAGCAAATTATTCGAATATTTCGAACACGAGCGGCAC